TGATGGGTTTCTAGATGGGTGGTGATCTTGCTTCTTAGGACCCTTTCAAAGATTTTTATGATATGGGATGTTAGTGCTATTGGTCTGTAGTTCTTTGCTTTTGCTTTAACCTGCCCCCTTTGTGGAGTGGGGCTATGTCTGTTGTTTTAGTAACTGTAGGACGACCCCCGTGTCCATGCTCCCTCTCCATAGGATGGAAAAGGCTCATGATAAGGGCTTCTTGCAGTTCTTGATGAACATGGAGTTCCATGAGTCTGGCCCTGGGCAGAGTGCATGGCATGTCATTTATCGCCTGTTCGAAGTCATTTGGCGTCAGGATAACATCGGATAGGCTTGTTAATCAAATTTTGTGGCTCTCATAAAAAATTCATTTTGATCTTCGACTCTCAGTCTGGTTAGTGGCTTGCTAAAAACTGAGTCATATTGGGACTTGAGTAGCTCCACTCATTTCCTTGCTGTCATCTGTGTAGGACCCATCTTGTTTAAGTAGGGGCCCAATAGTGGACGTTGTTCTCGATTTGATTTGGCATAGGAGAAGAAATACTTTGGGTTTCTTTCGATTTCATTATGCTTTTAGTTCTTCCCCCGCGATTCCTGACTCCTAAAGGATTCTTTTAGCTTAAGTTCGATGCTTGCTATTTCTCTGACCAGTGTCTCCCTGCGCATTTCAATATATTGACCTCTTTTAGCCGCTCTGTTATTCTTTTCCGTCGCCTGTAAAGGGAGCGCCTGTCTCTTTCTATTTTACATCTACTCCTCCTTTTTCGTAGAGGAATAAGCCTTGTGCATACATCGAGTGCCACCGAGTTAATCTGTTCTAGGCATAAGTTGGGGTCTGTGTTGCTTAGTATATCTTCCCAGCTTATATCGGTTAGGACTTGGTTTACTTGGTCCCACTTTATGTTTTTGTTATTTAAGTTGAATTTGGTGAATGCTCCCTCATGACTAGTCTCATTATGTCGGTCTGGGGCTCCACGCATACATGTCTGAACCTCAATTATGTTGTGATCTGAGTATATTGTTTTTGATATGGTGACATTTCTTATCAGATCATCATTGTTAGTGAAGATGAGGTCTAGTGTATTCTCCAATCTAGTAGGCTCTATTATTTGCTGGTTTAAATTGAATTTTGTGCAGAGATTTAAAAGCCGTGTGAGTGTGAGTTTTTCATCAGAGCTGCCTCCTGGTGTTATTACTGCAACAATATATTTGCTATATTCCTCCATTTTAGGTGCCTTAAGTTTGAAATCCCCCAGGAGCAAGATGTTGGGTGCAGGAGCTGGAAGATTTTCCAGACAGTGGTCAATTTTTAACAGCTGTTCCTGGAATTGCTGGGATGTTGCATCCGGAGGCTTGTAGACTACCACAATGACTAGGTTTTGGTTCTCGACCTTTACTGCTAAACTTCCACTACAATCATTTGAGGCATTAAGCAGTTCTGTGCAAACAAGTGACTCTGCAATGTACAGGCCAACCCCCCCCCCCCCTTTTGCCTGTTCACTCTGTCACATCTGTATAGGTTGTAACCTGGATCCATATTTCGTTGTCCAAGTGATCCTTTATGTGGGTCTCAGTGAAAGCCGCGAACATTGCCTTTGCCTCTGCAAGCAGTCCACGGATGAAAGGTATTTTGTTGTTTGTTGCTGGCTTTAGACCCTGTATATTTGCAAAGAAGAATGTTATCGGACTGGTGGTATTGTTGGTACTGGGGGGGGATTTTTTTTTCGGCATTAGTATCTGTATCTGTTGGTTTGGAGTGGAGGCCATCGACTGTGGTTCCACTCCAGGAATGACTGGATTTGGTGTAAGATTTCTGCCATTTCCTGCCAGTTTTTTTTTCCTTCCTGGCACTAAAAAACCTCTCCCTCTTGAGTGGCTGTGGCTACCCAGGTTTTCCCATGGCCTGGATGTTTTGTATCTTTTTGTCCCCTTTAGATGGTATGCCTGGCAATTTAAGTTATAGCACAGTCTTTCCTGTACTGAAGAGGTACACAGTTCAGGGTGAAAAAGCTTACAGGAAGGGAGTTTGCATTTTCCTGTTGTCATATGGGCATGGCATTTTCTAGGTTGGTCATAGTTGCACGTCCCATCTGTTTTTCCCGATTTCCCATGCCAGCAGATACCAAGTGCATAGTATGTGCACAGGCCTGGTTTCCGTTTGCCTTGGGTTTCTGTGACTGTATTCCCTGTTGGTGCATGTTTCCCTGTCTTACTTCTATCCTCCCTAGCACCAACAATGGAGCTCCCACCAGTTGTTTTTGGTAATATATCCTCACTATTGCTAGTGGAGTCCTCTTGTTTGCTATTTCCTGCGGTATTTCTAGTTTGCAATATTGGTTTTATCTTATCTTTGACTACACTTGTTTCCCTACTATGGCTCCTGTCCCCTATGAGGTCATTTATTCGTATTCCTTCCTGGTATAATTCCGACTACCTGGACAAAATCTCCAGCTTCACCATTACTGTCTCCCAGGACAGCACCTCCAGCTTCACCATTACTGTCTCCCAGGACAGCACCTCCAGCTTCACCATTTACTGTCTCCCAGGACAGCACTATCAGCCCCACATTTACTGACTACCAGGACTTCATCTCCAGCCTTACAGTTTCTGACTACATGGCCAGTATCAGGGCAGTACCATTCAGCCCAGACTTTTTATTTTCCCATCTGTTGTAGAAAGCTTCCAGGTTTTCTATGAAAGCAGCTTTGATGTTGTCCTCTTTTAATACCCTTGTGATTTTAGTCCACAGATTTATCTCATTTGGGCATACCCAAAAAACACTTCCCTGTTTTAACACTGCTTGTAGCTAGTTCTTGGATATCTGCACAAGGGGCGTGACACCAATTTCCACAAAAATGACAATTTACCCATGTGGAAGCCCGTTTGTTTGACTGACCACAGACTACACACAGCTTCATAATGATTTGAATGGTTGATTTACTGCAATTCTACTAGCAACCTCTTGAATATTCTATTAATAACCTCCTTAAATGAAGCTCTAGCTATTTGTATTTCTGTTTCTAACCGTTTTTGTATATTGGACAGCTTACCGTGCACGTTCCTGATTTATATTTAATGTTTGTGTTTATAAGGGCGCCTACAACCCCATCCGTTTACAGTCTGCTTTATTGTCCAACGAAACCGTTTGAAACCAGTCAAGGGTTCGGACCAGTCGATCTGATCTGATCAGTGGGTCACTTATTTAAAACATACTGGTCGGTGATTTGAGTTAACACATGAAGGATCTACTGGAAATTATCTACCCGAGTAATATGTGATTTGATTGATACAAAAGTATAACTTGCGTGTTGAAGAAACGGTGACTGCTGGCAACTCCTACAATGACGAACGGTCGACCTCAACCCTTGTTTATCAATCGCTGTATCTAGCTTTTCTATTTTTTTTTTTCCGTCTCCACCACAATAAATGCTATATTATCACTATAGTTGACTGGTGGAAATTTTGGAGGAAGGACGCTTTTTCTGTAGTAATAATTGCTTCTCGTAGTGTATATTGCGACCGCTGGTAACTACAGGTTATATGAAATTCACAGTATACGTCTGGTATTTCAAGAAAAATGAAACTAATGAAAGTCACTCCACTCCACTCTAGTACATGAAAAAAATTACAAAAATTTTTGTACGGAACTGTGCACTTCACAGTTCCAGCGATTCGGTGTTTGGCTGTTGTGCGCATGCGCACGTCCGAGACAAGATGCTGCATAATAGGTAGAGAGCACTGTCACTGATGCAGTGCCAACCCTGTTGTGCAAGTGTAAGGTAGTGTTTCTTTTTGAGTCAGTGACATGTGTTGTGCTTAAAAACCATGTACCATATTCTTGAATCTGGTAAAGTGTAGAATGGGATGATTATCATACTTCCAGCTATTTTATATGCTTGTTTCATTTTACATAATATTAAAACAATAGCTAAAAATTGTCTGGAGTAGCACCTCCACTAATTTTAGCTATGAACCACCAATGATTACTTAACAAACGACAAACATTAATTTTGTGACGCAAGATTAATTTTAGCAAAGTTACAGCAACAATGAATTTACATTCAGCTTGTATGGCAACATGATAGTTGCTCTGTAAGCCAAAATTATATGCTCTCTGAAAATAAGTTATAAAGTCAAATTAAAGAACTTTATCTTACCTTAAATTCTGGTTGCTGCTGCTTGTTTATATACAAATGTGTGGAGAAGATTAATGTGGCCCTGTAAAACAACCATACAAACTCAGGGTAGGCAGTATCAACTACCACCACCATCACCTGCCTTCAACATAGGTAAAAAAAAAAAAAAAAAAAAAAAAAAATTACTTTTCCTTACCAAATTGTATCAAACAAAGTGACTCCCCATACCTATACCATCCAAACATGCTAAAGATGTATTGCTTTCTCAAATGCTTTCCAAGAAAAAATGCAGTAGTATTGTAATAAAATAGTGTGGGAAGTATGGTGGTTGTTGCTTAAGGGGTAGAACTTAAAGCTGTGGCCAATACACTTTTATACAGCCTAAGCTATAGTGACCCACAAAATCCTCAACAACTGCACCAAAGTGAAGATTATACGTTCACTCCTCAAGGAAGGTTCTTTGATGCTGGCGAGGAGCTCTTGATCTAGGGAATTGGATCTGTGCTCCAGTTCCCTGAATTGAACCTGAATACCTTCCACATCCCCCTGCGCTGTATAATCTTACGGGTTTAGCACTTCCCTGTTCATTATAATACATGCACTACACAACTTTCTCAAAATACAACCGTAGTAGTACATGACTGCTAAAGACAAGGGAATGTGTAATTATGTTTTATTCTAAATTTACGACACTTTCCTCACACAATGTGGACTTGGGTACAATATTTCATTTGTGATTTACTGAAACTGTGATCCATGGATCAGTATGTTTAATACAACAATGTTGCTATGCCATCACTGCTGATAGAGTGCAGAAACAAGGAACTGAAGCACCAGGTAAATTGGTACACAAACACGTACAAAAAAATTTTGAAGTGTATATTTATAGAAAAAAAGGCTCATAACTAAATTATTGTACAGAATGATTTGCAACCCACAACGCTTAAAATATTTCCCTAGGTGATGAAGCTGTAAGTTTCATATATTACTGACTGAAAGATCCCTAGAATATACATGTATTAGTAAAATTATATCCGTGCCTGAAGAGATAAATGTTCATGTAGTAAATATTTCCTATTCAATGATATGCCCAAAGGTCATGTTTGGTATCACTTCCTAATTTCCAATTTCTCTTAACAATCACTAATTATCATGTACTTTACTTCAGGCATTAAAAAAAAAAAAAAAAAATATTGAAGTATGCTACATGCATGAAGGAAACTAGAATTTACCATTTACAAAAAAATTAATTAACAACCCACAGCAGATATATGTAGCATAAATTTATGGGCAAGTACAGTAAACAAATTACCTTTCACTTGAACAGAAAATAAATTTTTTATTTATAGGTTCATCTATTCACTTGAGCACCTAATTCATCATCAAGAAAAGAATTATTGATAATAAAAAAAAGTATTCGACTAACTAATTTATATCAATCTTCTTTAACAGGTCTACGTAATGAACAGTAATACTAAATAAATGAAATGGTTATTATTATTATAATCAAAAAGAAGTGCTAAGCCACAAGGGCTAATGAAATGGTTATTACCTCATTTAAAACATAATAAATGTTTTGGCATTACACAAACACACTAAGAACATGTAGTAGCCAAGGTATTCATACACTGGAAGTAAAGAAAAAATCTTCAAAACATATGGGAGTATGTATATATATACAGAAATTGACTCGGGAGTAACAAGTTTCACTACAATGGCACATTCTTTACTACATTCACTCCAACAATTTCACAAATACTCTCAAATTCACAACACTTCAACAACAAGGCCAGATTACCCAAAGTAATCCTTAATATTCCAAGAATTTCTCTTCAACAAACATTTCAAATACATTATTTGACTGAACAAATAATCTCCATCCATAATTATGCCATGGCACCAAACACTGGATTGTGTCTGCAGATGCTCGGTCCTTTCTCCTCGTACTCAGCCTTCGTGTGACACACCTGGTAGAAGTCAGGCTGCAAGAACAAACATTAAAGATCATTAGTTGTCCAATTACAAACAGGTCTACATCAACTGCAAAAGCAAGCAGTGCAAAAGTAACCAGTATTTCAGTATGCACAACACATTCAATATTTTAGTCTTTACCTTAACAGCACTCCCTCCCACCAAGGCATGGTGACCCAAGAAAACATCCACCATTATTCAATCATTCTCACCAACAGCGTGCTGACATCACAATTAAAATTACCCTCTCACTAACATTCCCACCCCCTCTTTCAGAGTGACCTCCAGGTGGGAAGGGCAGTGCTAGCTAACTGATTTCCCTGAATCCTTTCACAGTTACCTTGCTCACATTCCAACAGCATATGCATCAAAAGAACATTTACCTCCATTCACTCCTACCTAACATGCTCGTCTAAGCATGCTGGATGCTCAACCCCGTAAATCTCCAAGTTTCTTTTACCCTCTCCCTCCAACTACTCCTTTGGTGACCCCTAACCATTCAACCTTCCACCCACATTTGCAGCAATCATCATTCTATCCCTCTTCATCCTCTACATGCCCAAACACAGTTCCTTTCAATTTCTGGCTCACTGCCCTTTTTGCCTCAATAGATAAACTTTTTTTTTTCCACAGACACTTCAACACACCAGAGGCCAGGAGCTATGACTCAACCCCTGCAACCACAATTAAGTGAGTACACCTACCTCCCCCACCCCTTCATCTATTCTATGGCTCGTTTAATTTTTTGCACACTCATCTGTTGACATGTAGCAATATAATCAACATAACTCATTTCAAAGAAAATGGCCAATATTTTGTTACAAATTTTTTTTATCAAATGTAACAAGTCTTGACAAAATCTTCACCTTCTCCCTTAGTTTGTATTATATAACTGCAATCATGGGGGAAGCATGCAGCACTGTATGGCCCTAGTGGGTTTAGCACTTTTTTGATAATAATAATAATGAGGGGAAGTACTAAACCTATAGGGATCATACAGCACCCAGGAACATGAGAGGCACAGATGTTTGATCCAAGCAAAGGGAAGTTATGTCCAATTCCTTGGATCAAGAGCACCTCACAGAGGTCACTTGTAAAGGAGAGGAAAGGAAGTTTTTTCATTAATAGTTGGAAAATGAATCCTCAAAGGAACCACAGGAATATTAGGAAACATTTCTTCAATGTACAAGTGAATAAAATGGAATGAGCTGAGCACTGATACAACAAAGTAAGCTCAGTTTGAAAACAGATATAACAGGGCTCAATCACCACAGTTAACAGATGGGACCAGGAGCTTGAACTTAATCCAACCTTAAACAGGTAAATGCAATCCCCCTTCACAAAATTTCAACATCTTTTAAAACACACAAATTAGCTGTTTAACTTCTATGCATGAGGGTGCTACTGTGGTTCACTTGTGGTGCAACCCCCACACAAATTTTTCTCTCATACTACCTCCCATCCCTGCTTCATCTCGATGATTCTGCAGGTATTTTAAATTGTATCTACAACTGTGAAGGATGTAATTAGCAGTGTATTACTTAGGATGATGGCCAACGTAAGCAGTCTCCGCCTGTATTCTGGTAGTGGTCAAGAGTACTTTCACAGATTTTTAGATAATCTCAGAGTTACCAGGAAAGTAACTTCCTTGAATATAAAGGCACCACTATATATACAATAAAGCTATGTATACATACATGGTATGTTGTATATTTTCTACACTGTATATAATGTATCTATTTTATTCATATGTATACATACATGGTATGTTGTATATTTTCTACACTGTATATAATGTATCTATTTTATTCATCTAGGTAACAGTTGGATAAAATGTGGAACTAAGATATCAGTGAGGGCCTTATACAAGTTACAAAATAACCACATTACTTTACACATGGGCAACAAAAATTCTGAAGAAAAAAAAATCATAAAAGATACTCACAGTTGATGCAAGCATAGAACCACCAAACCAAACTGCATAACGCTGCATCTTGTGTGCAACAACATTTACATCAATGGGTTTGGGCTGAAAATAAATAATTATACAATTATAAATGTTAACAAGTCCTCCTTTTTCCAGTAGCTAAAGCAGGAATTTTTCTAACTGGAAAAACATTATGAATAAACACAGTATATCTGAAATCACAAAATAATAAAAATTTATACAGAACAGTAGCTTAATACTAGAACACACCTTAATGCGGCCACCACTAAGTTGTTCTGTGATTCGCAGTCTAGCATCAACAATTCGCTTTACATCCCTTTGCAAGCGGCGGTCAAAATCTTTGAACATAGTTGATCCACCAGATAAAACAATGTTCTTATAGAGAGGGCGACGTACATCGATGGGACAGTTCTGAATCACATTGTCTACAACTTCGCTGATTGGAATCGTAAAGTCAGGATTGGCAAACTGAAATTAAAGTGTACATCAAAATGACAACCTGGAAATAATTGCCTTCTGATAGCACTGCTAAAATTCAGAAATGTAATTTATTCTTCAGTCTCAATTTGATAATTTATTTTTTCTACAATATACATTGTACTGTACTTATAAAGTTAAATGGCTGCTGACAATGTGCCATTTAGACATGTCAAAATACTGTAGCCAAGAAGAAGAGTGGTTATAGCTCACATGCACTGACTTTGTAATTATTTGTTTGTAAGAAAAGCTGTATCTACATCAATGCTGTGATACTTTTATTCCTACCTAGTATTCATATTATATGCAATGATACCCAGACAGCCCAAGTACATAATTTCCTTATTTTTCTATTTAGTAAGTGTTACGGCCCCCTGCCAAACTAGCGGTTAAATAGTTAACCTGCCGGCCGGCAGTACCATTGGGTACATCATCAAACCCATTGTGGGGACTGCTGAGCCGGCCTTAGAGCATTAAGTACCTGAACACCTCAAGGTACGCAGCTAAGCAGTAATTACCAGAACATCTTACAGTATAGATCTACTGGTAGTAGAGAATATTCTCCTGCCCATCTTTTGGTATTCTACTGGCTTCTACTGATTTTAGAAGAGCCGCTCACCGCAGCTCACTGAGTCTGATGGCCTCAGTTACTTGACGGCCGCACTCAGTGAGCTTGCAGCATGTTCTGCTAGTAATTCATCAGACCACCTTGCGGTGTGTCAATTGGTCTTGAAGGCGGTAGATAGTACTCACCAGACCATTTTACGGTGTACTTCTACTGGCCTTGGAGAGTATTTACAGGACAGGTGATGTCTGCGGACTCACCACCTACGCTGGTCAACTGTGGGCCGGAGTCATCTGATGTTGTTTTAGTGGGACATTACATGAAGAAAAGGTTGGAGTGTTACACTGAACTGGGCTAGGACCGTAGTGTGACATTTAGGGAAGTATGATGGAGTGGAACACTGAGATATGCTACAGGACCGTAGTGGAACACTGAGAAGAAAAGGGTGTGGTGTGACACTGAAGATGGCCTGGTTGTAGTGTACAATGAATAGTGTCATGTGACTGGTCTCTGATAAGAAAGACGCTGTGGGTGATAGTGTGCGACGCAGAGACAAGGGTGTCAAGAGTGACACAGTAGAGATATTGTGTATGATGCAGAGAAAAGGGTGTCGTGTGACACGGGGAGTAGGAGTGTCGTGTGACACAGAGAAAAGGGTGTCTAGTGGACACGGTTGAGCAGGAGCGTCATTACACGGAAGAAAGGGTGTCAAGTGACAGTTGAGAGGGAGCGTCACAACACACCATGGATAAGTGTCGTGCGAGACACGGAGCGTCATTAAGGTGTCGTGAGACACAGAGTTGACTAATTTATTATTGTAAATGTTACATATAATTTATTATTTTAGCATAGATATATATATATGGTGACACAGTAGTGTCAAGAGAGTTGTACCCTGTGTAGGGTCACGAATTATTATTTATTATTTTAGTAAAATGCTAATTATAATTTATTATTGTAACCTGTATATATTATCAGATGTTTATTAGTTCAAATACCTCTAGACCAAAGATTGATTTTTATATAATATTAAAGATTCATTTATTTTAACGTGTATTTATGTATCCCGAACTCTCTATTACAAAATGAGTAAACCTACCATCTTTAAAAATTACTTTTTTTTGTAATAGTAAGAGTATAGAATTAAAAGGAGTAAAAACTCATTTCCAGCTTTTTTATCTACTACAAGCATAACTACAGCAAAAATAAACCTTCTTTCTCAGGAATATTGGAAAGGAAATGCTACAGGAATAAGAACTACTGAAAAACCATAGGAAGATAAAGGTTAAGTGCATTCCAATTGAAAGAAGTCATAAATTTAAGTGTCATGTTAATAATAAGACTAAATAAAAGGACCAGCAAGTCTGCCAATGCATGACATATAACAAGCTTTTGTTTCTCGCTCAACCAACAGGAAGGTAGCGCCTTCCCTAGATAATTATCGTCTAATAATCTACTACAGTAGTATACCTAAACTTGTCAACATTAATACCTCTGGATGGAAGAAGATTTCGGGTCCTAGGAAGCGTTCATAACCTATATCAATACCAAAGGTCTGGTTGTTTACTGGATTTTTTCCCTCATATCTCTTGATCCATTTTGACTGGTCACTATCATACTTGTTGAACTCTTTTGCAATATCTGGGCAGATATAGCTGAATTTCTCTGTAAATAACCACAACAGTAAGTAACAGATTTAAGAATAAAACGAAAACAGTAGTATAAAGTAACTCTTTTAATCCCAAATTAAAAATATTGATCCAGGAAAATGAATGCCTTAATGACGGCTAAACATCACAAATTCAAAATTGTTTCATTAATATTCCAGTATATAGCTACATTCAGTTAAAAACAAAGTGTAATAAAAATACACTTGCCTTTCACAGCCTTAGCAGTCTCCATACTCATTTGTGGTGGAATATTTGGTTCCCTCTCTCTCAACAAGCTTTGAACAAAGTAGGTAATGTCTCGGCCAGCAATTGGAATGTGTTTGATGCAGCTTCCAATAACATATCCGTCAGCCTAAAATATACAAGGTATTAAAATATCATAAACATTTGTGTTATAATATTGTACCTCTTGCTCTATGAAAGTCAGCAGGCATTTTATAATATGAACTAGCAGTACATACTGCATATATCAGAGGTATGGCTTATCCCAAAGGTAGATGGGACAAAAGGAAAATGGCAACAGCAAGTAAGAGAGAGAGGTGAAAGTGTATAAACTAAGGGAGAAGGAAGTTCGGGTGAGATATGAGCAACAATTGGCAGAAAGGTGGACTAGTGCAAGTATGAGTAATGGGGGAGTTGAAAAGGGTTGGAATAGTTTTAAAAATGCAGTATTAGAATGTGGGACAGAAGTTTGTGGCTATAGGAGGGTGGGTGCAGGAGGAAAGAGGAGTGATTGGTGGAATGATGAAGTAAAGTGTGTGAAAAAAAGAGAAAAAGGCAGCTTATGAGAGGTTTTTACAAAGCAGTGTGTTATAAGAACAGCAGAGTATATAGAGAGTAAAAGAAAGGTGAAGAGAGTGGTGAGAGTGCAAAAGGAGAGCAGATGACAGAGTAGGAAAGGCAGTGTCAAGAAATTTTGATGAAAATAAGAAAATTTTTGGAGATAAACAAGAAAACCTAGGGAACTAATTGATTTGTCAGCTTAAAACAGAGTAGGGGAGTTAGTAGATGGGGAACTGGAGGTACTGGGTAAATGTCTTGAATATTTTGAGGAGCTTTTAACCCTTTCAGGGTCAACAGGCCCAATCAGAGACTTGTTCTCAGGGTCAGCCAAATTTAAAAAAAAAAAAAAAAATCTTATGAAAAGATAGGGAATCTTTTCCTGATCATAATGACACCAAAAGTATGAAATTTGATGGAAAACTTACAGAATTATGCTCTCGCGAAGTTAGCGGTCTCAACGATGTTTATGCATCGGCGATTTTTTCCACTTTGGGCCCTATTTTCAGCCAATTCACTGTACTTGTCGACAAAAATCATAACTATTTCGCTAGAACTCTATTTTGTCTATTGAATGAGTACAAGAAACCACCCATTTACCGATTTCAACTATCCAATAAAGTGGTCAGAATTTAGCAATTTTGCCAATTTCACACAAATTTCAAAAGATGGCAATTTCCAAATAGGGTCCAGAATAAACAAGAAAGACATTCCTGGCACTAAAATAACAATTCCTCTGTTCATTAGTCATGTCCCCAGGCCCCTCTTACATTCTTTTGCTTTCCACTTTGAATTTTTATTCTCACAAAAAAAAAAAACAGAAGATTTACTGTTATGTAGACTACTGCATTGGTGTAGAAATGTATAAATAATATCAGCACACTTGTGAAAGAATATCAGACTCACCAGTTGACGTGAATTGGACGCATAGCATGATCTGTTTACTTTTGAACTTTGGTAAAAATCAAACATTTCTGCTACTTTGAGCTCAATTTCAAGTTACTTTTCTTTGCAAAAACCAGTCAAAATCATCTCAATTTCTGTAATATGTCTTCCATTCTATAAAATGAGACCAGGAAAACTAGAATACAACAATAAATACCATAGGAAAATGCAGTGCAAAGTCAGTGTTTTAATCCAAAAACAGGTAGTTTTTTGCTGCAGGATTTTTTTTATACCGCGCATACTGACCACATGGACCCATTCTTTCATATGTAGGCCTACCAGCTTTCTCTCACTAGATTTGAGGGCGCTAGAGTTTAGGCGTACTAGTACGTCAAAACCCTGGCTCGTAAGCCGTACTAATACGGCCGAAACCCTGAAAGGGTTAAATGTCGATGAAGAAAGGGAGGCAGTAATTGCATGCACTGGCCAGAGAGGTATAACATCTTTTAAGAGTGAAGAAGAGTAGGAGGCGAGTGTGGGGGAGGTGTGCGAGGCATTACGTAGAATCAAAGGGGGTAAAGCAACTGGAACTGACGGGACCATGACTGAAATACTTAAAGCAGGAGGGGGGGGGATATAGTGAGGGAGTGGTCGGTATTTTTGTTTAATAAATGTATGAAAGAGGGGAAGGTACCTAGGGATTGGCAGAGAGCACGTATAGTTCCTTTATATAAAAGGAAAGGGGACAAGAGAGATTGTAAAAATTATAGGGGAAAAAATTTACTGAGTATACCAGGAAAAGTGTACGGTAGGGTTATAACTGAAAGAACTAGAGGTAAGACAGAGAGTAGGATTGCAGAGGAGCAAGGAGGTTTTAGGGTGGGTAGAGGATGTGTAGATCAAGTGATTACATTGAAGCATATATGTGAACAGTATTTAGATAAATGTAGGGAAGTTTTCACTGCATTTATGGATTTAGAAAAAGGCATATGATAGAGTGGATAGGGGAGCATTGTGGCAGATGTTGCAGGTGTATGGAATAGGTAGTAAGTTACTAAATGCTGTAAAAAATTTTTATGAGGATAGTGAGGCTCAGGTTAGGGTGTTTAGGAGAGGGGGAGATTACTTCCCGGTAAAAGTAGGTCTTAGACAGGGATGTGTAATGTCACCATGGTTATTTAATATATTTATAGATGGGGTTGTAAAAGAAGTAAATGCTAGGGTGTTGTAGAGAGGGGTGGGATTAAATTATGGGGAATCAAATACAAAATGGGAGTTGATATAGTTACTTTTTGCTGTTGATACTGTGCTTAGGGGAGATTTTAAAGAAAAGTTGCAAAGATTGGTGGACGAGTTTGGGAGGGTGTGAAAGGTTGAAAGTGAACATAGATGAGAGTAAGATGAGGGTATCAAACGATTTAGATAAAGAAAAATTGGACATCACATTGGAGAGAGGGAGTATGGAAGAAGTGAATGTTTTCAGATATTTGGGAGTTGACGTGTCAGCGGGTGAGTTTATGAAGGATGAGATTAACAATAGAAATGGAGGAAAAAAGGCGAGTGGTGTGTTGAAGTATATGTGGAGACAAAAAAGGGAATATATGAATGTATAGTGGTACCAACTTTCTTATGTGGGTGTGAAGCTTGGGTTGTAAACGCTGCAGCGAGGAGGCAGTGGAGATGTCCTGTCTAAGGGCAATGTGTGGTGTAAATATTATGCAGAGAATTCAGAGTGTGGAAATTAGGTGTGGAGTTAATAAAATTATTAGTCAGAGGGCTGAAGAGGGGTTGTTGAGGTGGTTTGATCATTTAGAGAGAATGGATAAAAGTAGAATGACATGGAAAGCATATAAATCTGTAGGGGACGGAAGGCAGGGTAGGGATCGTCCTCGAAAAGGTTGGAGGGAGGGGGGTAAAGGAGGTTTTGTGGGCGAGGGGCTTGGACTTCCAGCAAATGCGTGTGAGTGTGTTAGGAGTGAATGGAGACGAATGGTTTTTGGGACCTGACGAGCTGTTGGAGTGTGAGCAGGGTAATATTTAGGTAAGTGTTTCAAGGAAACTGGTTATTTTTATATAGCCAGACTTGAGTACTGGAAATGGGAAATACAATGCATGCACTTTAACCCTTTCAGGGTCCGTCCCATAGATCTACGGCTTTACGTTCAGGGTCCAAACCGTAGATCTACGCCATGAGCTCAGCTCACTCTGATAAACTGTGAGTGGTACATTTGGGCCTAGATATGAGAGAATACATCTATGTGGTATGTGTGCACCACATAAAACAGATCCTGCAGCACACTGTGTATAATGAGAGAAAAAAAATGAAATCATGATTTTTCGATTAAAACAGCAACTTTGCAGTGTTTTTTCATATGTTTTTTATAGTTGTATTTGCGATTTCTTGGTCTCATTTGATAGAATGGAAGACATATTACAGAAATAGAGATGATTTTGATTGGTTTTAACATTGGACATGGCTTGAAACTGAGCTCAAAGTAGCGGAAATGTTAAATTTTTGCCGATATTCAAGAGTAAACAAACGACCTCACACGTCTAATACACGTCAGCTGGTGGGTCTAATATACATTCACAAATATGGTGATGATATTTATACAATTATTACAGTATTGCATAACAGTAAATCTTCTATTTTTGGTGTGAATAAAAATTCATTATGTGAATAAAAAATCAAAATGGAATTTATTTGTAAAGCCTCAAAACATAACTAATGAACAGAGGAAATGTTAGTTTAGTGCCAGGAATGCCTACATTGTTCATTCTGGACCCTATTTTGAAATTGGAATATTTTGAACTTTGTGTTAAATTGACCAAATTAACAATTTCCGATCACTTTATTTTGTAGTTGAAACAGTTGACTTGGCGATTTCTTGTGCTCAATCGATAGAATAGAAGTAATACTAGTGAAATAGCTAAGAATTTGGTTGATTGGAATAATGTAATTGGCCTAAAATGGGAGTCAAAGTCGGCAAAATCGCCGATTCGTAAATATCGCTGACACATCAAAATTCGCGAGAGCATAATTTCGTCAATTTTCCACCAAATTTCGTACTTTTTGTTTTATTACCTTCACAAAAAGATTCTCTACGATTTCATAAGAAAATATAACAAATTTTTTTTTTGAAAATTCTTGGACACTGGTGCGTGACTCCAGATTTGGGCCTTGGACCCTGACAGGGTTAAAGGAAGGGTTTGGGATATTGGCAGTTTGGAGGGATATGTTATATATTTTTATACAGTGGACCCTCGTTTTTCACAATTAATCCGTTCCAGAGAATGTGACTATTATCGAAACTGACAATTTGCAAATCCATTTTCCCCATAAGAAATAATGTAAATCCAATTAATTCGTTCCAGACACCCAGAAGTATCAACAAAAAAAAATTTTTTTTTTTTACCTTAAAGATAGATTTACATGCACAAAAGAATGAACATTCAACATGACAGTTACCTTTATTGAATGCTGTTATTGATGAATGGAAGACAGGGAGGAGGAGACCGCGAAGAGAGGTTATTGTTTGGAAGGGGAATCCCCCTCCATAAGGACTCTAGTTCACTTCAGGGGTCACTTCCCTAGCTTAAATATAGACTTGTATGCAGAAAAGGATGCCAAATACAAGTACCATCCGACATGCAACCAAGTTTGGTTCCGACCAACCACTTGTAAGT